CCCCCCCCCCCCCCCCCCCCCCCACCCCAAATCACCCCGATTTTCGATTAGTAGGTCTTTGTGTCTTGAATTTTTGTTCGACCCTTGCTTCCATATTGTTTTCTTGCGTCCGTTTGACTAATCGGTACGTGAGCCAATTGAGCGTAAAAGCGCCAAACTGCCGTACGTGTATCCGCCAAAGTTGTTGTGGGCCAGCCTACACCGTCGATGCCAAACCGAGGCAATATCATGTCGGTTCTTGACGCCACGGCTAAAATGGCGCACCCCCTCATATCGAGGTTTGTCGATAGAGCGCACGACAACTTGAATGATGGAAGTGTAGCTGCTGCTAGCACCCGTTTCCTGGACTTTGGCACCCAACGACTTTGTACAAAATTCGATGCTCGCGGAAAGTCGCGGCGCCGAAAAACCGAGGCGGCCAAACCACGGAAAAAGAAGGATGTTGGTGCCAACACCAAACTTTTGCCACCTCGACCATTTTCGTATGTACACCAGATGTCCGTCAGGCGCCCGTCGATTCTCAGGTTTCTGTTGAACCTCCCGCCGGGAATATCGCCTCTCGTGTTCCCAGTGGCTTACCCCGTTCCACTCTTTTAAGTGAATTGCGTGACCGCAGTAGCAAGCTATGCGTCCGGCTGTCTGTACTGATTAAGGATGGGCAACAACCTGACCAGCGCCTCATTGAGATGGTCTTCCTGCTTGCCCCCGGTCAGCACCACCTGGTGTCACGGGTCATTGGTATTCATAGCGGGAAAAGCGCAAAGAGGGAGCCCTTGTTGAGAGAAGATGATGGCCCGTCGAGATGGTCAGACGTGGGCACAATACAACTTAAGCCCAAAAGGCACCGCGTTGCCCCTTTCCACACACACACGTAAAAGAAACGGCCGCGTGCATGCATAAAGCGAAAATTATTGAATCATGGGGAATGGCACCTGGGGGAGGGCATCGACCCAGGTAATCTATTCAGAGATCCCCCACTCACCCTGCCGGACGAGAAAACATGCGCCACCACCCCTCTGTGCGCTGTCTGGTAGATCAACCCTGGAAAGAGCTCCGGCTCGTACATGCACCATCTGCACAAGGGTACAGACAGACAGCGGGGTGGGGGGTCGTTCGAGAGGGAGTGCTGCCGCAATTTGTTGTTTGTCGTCAACAATTAAGAAGGGCGTTAGGACGTCTCCGTCCAGGGCCGCCTTTTCCCGACCCCGTGAACGCATTTTTTTGGCACGATCACAAACCCACCCAGACCGAAGGTACACAATACAAAGACCCAGTGGGAACAATAATACGCCAACGAACACACTCGAGCAATCCTTGTTCGAAAAGGGCCAAGGAAATGACTTCGGTGGTCAAATGCCAACCCAAAATTGAGGTGCACAATAAACGACGAGAAATACACACCAAAGAATTCAGCAACTCTGGAATCGTTCTCTTTGTGGAGACTACCCCTGCCTGTTACACAACAGCAGTCAGTGGCGGAAGCGAAAGCCTCGTGGTGCGACCGTGATACTCCCAGGACGCCAGATAGAAGCCGGGTCATGTTGGGTGAACTTAGAATCGATGAGCACACAACCTTGGGTGGGGCGGACTCAAGTAGAGTTGAGTCGATGGCTTGGTCTCGCGCCCCTTCTCACCTGGCCTGGCAGTAGGCCATGAGCTCAAGGCTTATGGGAGCATCCACCTCAAAAGTAGCCACCATATTTTGTACCGCGAAGCGCCTGCGTGTCCGGGGGGGGGGGGGGGGGGG